AGTGACTAGTAATTGCAAATAAACCTTACACAGTCAGTCCATATTATACTGCAGAGTACTTCGATTTATTGGATTGTAGATTCTAAACATTTCTATTGGAGAGATACAGTAGTTTACATAAGAAACTTACATTCTAGCCATTGACTGGTTTATGAATTACCCACATTAAGTCTGTATTCATTTCCCAGTGCTCACACACCAATGAACATGTGTATCCTTCAAAATCATACGATACATATTTCTATACAACCTACTCTGTTTCTGTCCAATATTTTAATAGGAAACTATGGAATGTATGACCAAGTTCTTGCCTTGAAATGGGTGAAATCTAACATTGGTGCTTTTGGAGGAAATCCTAATAGGATTACTATTTTTGGAGAAAGCGCTGGAGCAGCAAGTGTAGGCCTACATTTACTGTCACCATTGAGTGAGCCATTATTCAATCGCGCCATATTGCAGAGTGGTACACCTGATGCCGAGTGGGCTGTGATGACCCATGATGAGGCCGAGACGAGATCCCAAATTCTTGGTTCATTTCATGGGTGCAATTTCGCTCAAAGTGACTTTGTGGATTGCCTTCGCAATGTTAATGCTAGTGACCTGAGTGCACTCGAATGGGTAACTTCACAGTTTTCAAAAATGCCATGGACCCCCATTGTTGATGGAAAGTTTTTACTGAACGATCCTAAAAGTTTGGTTAGCAATGGTCAATTTAAAAATGCGGACGTACTATTAGGATCTGTCAAGGATGAAGGAACATATTTTATTTTGTATGGATTTGTACCAGGATATGAAAAAGACTCCACTAACTTACAGACATATGAAAACTATTTAGCCAATGTAGATTATACCAACTCTGATTTGAATACTTGTTCCAGGGCAGCTATTAAAGACCACTACACACACTGGGAATCGCCCATGATGGTGTTGCTAACCGTGATAACTTAGATGATGTGATTGGCGACCGACAACTCATATGTCCAACAGTCAATTTTGCTCATAAATATGTACAAACAAATATGAACGTGTATTCGTACCAGTATAATATCAGAGACAGTCAGAATCCATGGCCAGAATGGATGGGAGTCATTCATGGTGATGAAATTCAGGTAAGACTAGCTCATACTTTTTGCAAAATGTTGTAATAATTTAGATTTATTGATTTATGAAACATAATCTTGTCCATTAAACAAGCTACTAGAGACAGTTAATGCAGATTAGAACAATTCTGGGTAATGATTAGGTGACGCTAAATAGCTTGTTTATCTAACTTTAATCAATGAACTAATTAATGACACCCTCTTCTCATGACAGAATTTGCAAGACACATTCTCTGTTATATTATTGGTCACAAAATTGATCACCTAATTTGCTTATTCATGTTGTTCAACCCTTTCATTTGATCCATCACTTAATGAATTTAACAATTTATACTTGAATATCAAACAAATGCAATTAATGCGAATTACGTCATTTATTTGCAAAATATGCAAATTAGGTAATTGTGACCTAATTTCAATTCACCAAAAAAGTCGTGGAAGGAGGTCTTCTATTACTGGTTCAAAGGTTAATTGTTCAGTGTTACCTTTTTAGTTTGTGTTTGGTATGCCCTTAAATCCCGCAAATGGTTATACTGAGGAAGAGGTTGGGTATTCAGAAAAAATAATGGCTTATTGGACGAACTTCGCTAAATCAGGGTAAGAGTTACGTGATCACAATTGTACAGCTTTGATACAAAAATGGCAGCCCATGTAGGATGAAAGCCAATATTTGTTTTGTTCCAGAGTACATTTTTCTAATTGTATTAAGATTTATTGAAATATATTTATAAATAGACATATATTTACGGCTTGCTGTTAATAGAAACCCAAACAATGGACAGTCATTACCATATTGGCCAAAGCAGACAGCCCAAGGGGGTGAATATTTAAAGTTTCCGAGCTTTGAGTCAGATTCAGGAATGCGGAATGAACATTGTCAACTATGGAGTGTATTTAATACCAATATTGGAGGGTGACGAGATGTGGTAAGTATTGTCATTGACAAGATGTTCGTTTTGTTGTTGTTACAATAAATATTCGAGAAAAACATGTTTTTTATTGACAATTTGAAGACAATTTTCATAATTGAAGTCACGTGAACTACGATACTAATTGATATATATTATGCTTGTTTGCAGCAATTAATGACTAATGACTTATCTCGCCTGTATACCTGATTACCCAATCATAGTTTATATTTTAAATTTATACTCATAATTCACATAAATCACAATTATGCTAATTATATTCATAAATATCTAGTAAACATTGTATGTATAGTTCATTAATAGTCGCATTTATAATAATATTATATTATGCAAAATATCGATGACAGTATAGGTATCGTGAATATTCTTTGTCGTCACTCTTTTTAATCCGCTCTAAGAAAACTACTATAATGAATGCGTATAGTGCAATAGTTTATTTCACTCTTAACAATAACGGTGTACTTTTTTAGTCATGTGACAATTCTGTCATTATATGTATTTGTCTTTTTAATGTAGTGTATATGTAATTTAAGACTAAATAAAGAACTATTTTACCCCTTAAGCACGGTATTCATGTTTCGCAAAGCAATATGAATATATACTCATTGTTTTACTTCGGACATAATACTCTTGATTGTATGCGTCGCGGTCGATGTAATCTTTACCTGATTCCGCCTTGGGTTCATAAACAAAACAATCTGTTATGCTTTAGTAATATAAATCCTAGCGTACTGCTGTTTTCATTAGTGAAGAGACGGAACGCCTCGTTTATGTTAAAATAGATGTTAATATTTTTGACAAATCCTTGGTTGAACATATGGTCCAACTCCAGCCTTGTATGGAGTTTGGGCGTCTGGGCGTCTGGGCGTCTGGGCTAGTCATCATTGTCTTCTTTGATAGCTATTTTAGTCATGAATATTTTGCGATTATCAAGAAATTCATTTTTGCCATTTAGGTATGTGTTTGTAAGTAAAATTATTATTACCAGTAAGCCTAGTAAGTTCTTCATAACCAATTAGACACTCTTGATAATATGATTCACAAACAGACACTTTATTATTAGAATCGTTGTCTACGGACACAACATACAGATTAGACAATTCATTGAGTGTTCAGCTATATGTTTTACTACACGTAGTCAGTAATCTAAACACCCTTAACTAACTCTGACAATGTATCCCCATCTACCACCTTTAGTTTGGCCCATTGTCTGGCAACCCGATTGACAGAGTTAAGACAGTAAAATAGAATGGGAACACATTTGTTATTAAAATAAGAAAGAATATTTAGACGTTATCTTCTTATTATGAAGTATATTGCTGATATTGGTAGCAAAATACAGATACATTGAGTAACGATGTTCACTTGTCAAAGATTATCATCAAAATACCTTACCGTTCTCTGTATAACGTTGTTAAGAAGTGTCTAATCGCATTAACAGACTTGACAGTTATTTTGTCATTGCACAAACGTAAGGCATAGCATTACAAAATTGTCGAATCCAGTAATTTTCTTTCATTCTATGGAAAGGTGAACTGAGTATGAAACTGTTCGTGGGATAATTGATCTTGTCTAGAATGTGGTTAAAAGGGTTATAATTTTTTTTAAATCATAGGAATTATTAATTCCATGTTGACGTCCATTCATTCTAGATCGAAGACTTATTGCGAGTCTCACATAAATAAGTCCACACAAAAAACACTCAATCATGTTTGATATGATTTACCTGTCAAGTTGCTACTAAAATCTTGTGATGTCATTTGTACAACAATAGGATATTTAAGCCACAGAGTCACTGGCTGGGGTATATTATTTCAAAAGCGGTGTGTTAACTTTAGGGGCGAGATTTTACAATGCATTCAGCTTGAAACAATTTGTTTCGATCAACAGCGCCAACACGAGGAATACCAAGTAATTGCACCAGAGGACACTTGGACAAAACCATTATTAACAGA